GGGTGAGGGAGTGATAAAATTAGGGTTATGATTTTATATAGTACCTGATTTTTGAATAATAAAATTTGGTCCCTGATTTTTTAACTTTAATCTTCAAACACCTGGAATTCTGTAATTTCCACTTAAATTTTCCCTCTAAAGAAGCCGTAACTTAAATAGGCCCAATTTCCACGAAGCCCATTAGGTGTAAATTCCACTCTTTAAATACCTATAAACCCTAAATCAACCAAAACCCCCCAACTTTGCTGTTGCAATTTTGCAGGTATAAAAACAATTTGTCAATAAATTTCCATATTCCACACGCGCACGCACCAAAATTGCACTCAGAAAGTTACACAGAAGAAGTGTGTGAGAGATGGTGTGGTTTCAGTGCGAGGATTGTGGAGACAATCTTAAGAAACCCAAGCTCCCTAATCACTTTAGAATGTGCTCTGCTTCCAAGGTTCAGTTTTTTCACGTTCCTTGAAATTATTTCTTTCAAATTAATTACTTTTTATCAAATCCCCATTCTTGTTTTAATTTGGATTAGCCTCGCTTTGTTTTGCTTGATTCTGTATTAGTTATCGTGCATTGATTGTGGGCAAGTATTTGGGCAGACAACTGTTGAAAGTCACACTCAGTGTATTAGTGAAGCGGTATTTTCTACTCCTTTTAAGATTCTTGTTCTTGATCGTCTTCTTCTTATATATTGAATGTGCGTTTCGAAATGATCTCTCTCTCTCTCTCTCTTCTTTTCATAAGATAAATTGGCACGAGTTTGTAAAGTTTTCTAGGAAGCAAAGGTAGCTTAAAGTAAGTTGATGGCGTATCCAGTGATTGCATAGAATATATATATATATATTGTTTCGGGAAGTAAACCGTGCAAACTATTTGTGACATCCCTACCATTTTCTGCATTTGAATCTTTGATGAATATGATCTCTACCTTGTATATCTTTTAATTCTATTGACTCGTTTCGTAGTGAAATATTATGATGCATTAGCTGTTGTATCTGAAAATGAATACGTTATAGGCACTAGGTATTGTTTTTCAGGTTTAAAACAATGTGGTAACTGAACTTCTATTGCAGTGGTAATTGAACTTGAACTTTGATATGATTGGGTCGATGATTTTGAACATTTTCTACAACCTGGTCATTCTATCCATGTCTATTAGAAAGTAACGGAAAAGCTAACATAGCTGTCTATTTGACACTTGGCAGTTTAGTTGCCAAATAGTTACATTGTCACGCCATCTTCCTCGTTAGTCAAACTAGCATGGATGTAGTTGCCAAATTGTATCAGAGTTCAGTTACTTGAAAACCAATATGAAATTATGATAAAAGTGTTTATGACCACTGGTCTATTTAATCCTGTGTTTTTCAATGACTGCAACCAATTCTTTGTTTTCAGGAAAAATATGGTCCAAAAGGTCAGGGGAAATCTTCGAGTGGAGTGAATGCAAAAACTAAAAATGATTCAAAGCCGAAACCAGATTTTGATGTAAATGTTGGGCTCTCCGAGCGTTCTCCATGGTTCTGTAGGTATGTTCAAATTATACATTTTCCGTCATGAGAGTATTCTGATATGTCAAATAAAATAAGAGCAGAGCGAAAAAAGAAAAAGATTGATTCTCAAACATCATCATGGATAGGTGGCCACCAATTCCCCTGTCCAGAACCTGCCATGGGGTGGGTGGCTGACCTCAATGACTTTTTATATTAAAATGAATGTGATGACCTAAAACATAAATTCTAGTTTACAACTAGAAGCATCCAATGTAGAAAGCGTCTTTGCTTGAGGGCTCTTCAAAGTATTTTGAGATTTCAAGATTGGTAGGGTATAATTTGTGATGCTCGGACTCGGATATTGGTATGTATTTAAGTGTCGAATCTTTTATTTTTTAAAATGTAGGATACGGGGATATGGCTAAAAATAATCCAAAATTCCGAACGCGGACGTGAGCATGTCTTTCACACTTCAGTTTTTTTCCCTAAAAATTCACATGTAAAAAGTTAAACAATAATTAAGTGGCAAATTGTTAAAATATAAAACGTGTCACTTAAAATCAACTATAAATTTATACTAAAAGTAACACCAAAAACAACATAAAATTACATGACAAAAGCACAAGAATAAAATAAAAGTTAGAAATAACATAATTAACTATAATTTCCATACCCACTTGAAAATTGAAGAATCCGCCCAATATTTCATACCCATGTTGTGTCGACATGGGTATGCTAGCTGGAATGCCAAGTTCAAGCCTCACAGGATATAACAATTATTGCTTGAAATTTGAACATCTATTGTATGGATTGCCATTACTGAGTGCTCTGCACTCATCTAATCTGTAAGCATTCACCATTTACTAAATTTGATTCCCATCGATTACTGGTGCTTGCAGAAATGCCTTGTCTTTGGTGATTTATTTGTATTTACTGTCTGGTTGGTTTGTTCGTAATATTTATTTCCTGGTATTCGTCCACAATTTTTTTTCTTGGTTCCATCTTCTTACCTATGAGATTACTCTGTCTATACTAATGGAGCTATACATTTACAGCTTATGTAATACTAAGGCTACCAGTAGGCAAACCTTGCTTCTCCATGCAGAAGGAAAGAAACACGGTGCTAAAGCAAGAGCTTTCCATGCAGCAAAGCAGCAGCCTAAAGATGCGAAAGAAAACAAGGCTTCCATTGAAAACAATGTCAGAAATGAGCAGCCTAAAGATGCGAAAGAAACCAAGGATTCCACTGAAAACGATGTTAGAAATGAAAATGCTGACATTAAAGATTTGGTGGAACCTAGAGAACCAAATTCGTCTGAAGTTGCTACTGTGCATTATGGTTCCGGAGTGGAAAATAGTTCTTTGCAGTCGAATAAGAAAAGAAAACTCGAGGCATCTGAAACTAATGGTGCTCAGAAGAAGGCTGGATGTCTTATACCTTCAGAATTAAGCAATGGTGAAGTTATTCAAGTTGAAAGAGCAGAGAAGAAAATAAAGTGGAAAAAGCTCATTACATCAGCACTTAAATCTGTACTCTCCTGGTCTCTTTTAACATTAACGTGTTTTTTATCTTTGAACATGTAATATTTCTTGTTTCTACGTCGTACACAAGGTGAGATATATTGTTTGCATTTAATAGGCTGACACATGCCGTAATACATTTCATGGAGATTCTATTGAATTGTGATATGGGTTAAACACTCAAACTTATATATAAATTGTATTAAGGGCATGGGCGGATTTGGGGGGGGACTGTTCCGGGCTCTCCGGCCCGTTAATTTTTTTTTTCCTTGTAAAAATTTTTTTATGTGTAAATTTATTTTTTTTACGCTGTAGTCCAGCTTGTAATCCGATCCTGAATCCGTCTTAGATTAAGGGTGAAAAAGATAAGAATTTGTTAAACCCCGTTTTTGAGGTTGAAAAAGGAGGGGGCAGTTTTCTGCCGCTGTAGATATGGAATAATGCACACACCATTTAATTGAGTGAATTTTATTTGTCATTTCTTTGATAGAGCTTTCTGTAAATTGGGATCTAACGTCTAAAAGTGTAGAGAGGAGCATCTATATATGTATGTCATAAAACTCTTCACTTGAATAAATGCAGAATCCAGATGGCGCTCTGAAGTTTAAAAAACTCAGGAAATTGGTCCTGAAGTTTCTCAAGGAATCTGGTTCCACGGACGACAAAACCCGGGTTTCTGAAATGCTTGAGCAGAAAGTGAGTTTTGTTTATTCCTCCAAAACGAACTAAATGGCGTGTAGGTTGCTTTTGATTGATATGATCATTCATGAGTATCTTGTCTTTGATTTTCTACAGGTCAATTCAAGTTCTAGATTCACTGTCGATGGCAAATACGTTCGCCTAGCAGCCAGCAGCTAAGACTGGGCCTTACCTTCTGTAGAATGAATTCTCACTGAAATTTGATTCATTGATGTTTCCCCTTTTTGCTGCTGATGCTGATCACCTACAGAAATTGTGACATACTTGATATATTATTAAAATGTTTTGACACACCTGGTTTCGAAACACCTTAACCCCTGATTTCTCGTAAGGCACTTTCATTTCAAGTATTAATCAAGTTTTAGCGTAATTGGAATAATCTGAAAGTCTACAATGTTTGCTCAATATGAAAGACATTGCAAATAAGGACGGAGCCGATGGGATAGAATTCCAAAGTTTTTGTTGATTTTTTTTACTATTTATATTTAAAAATAAAGCAGAAGAAAAAGACTATAGCTCATAAAATATAAATTGTTGACAGTCTAATGTTCTAACGTTTCTTTTTCTTTTTTTTTTTTCCTGGAAGACAACGTTTGAATTCACCCGACTCAATCTTTTTATTTTATTTTATTAGGAAATTTGTTTAGGACCTCTGGAAAAATCAGTCTCGACATTAAAATTCAAAGCTTTTAATTCTCATCCTGAAGTTCGATTTTCATATTTCATCCTTTTTAAATAATTTCATTAATATTTGCGTTAAATACAACCTAATATTTCGAAACAAAAGAGTTTATTTATGTGGAAAATATATACATGCCTTTTTCTAAAATTGATTACTAACAATTCATTGATTATTTAATATGTATTAAATAAATATATTACTAATAATTCATCACATCCATAGCACACCCTTATTAAAATAAAAATAAAAATTGTGACATCTCTCTCTCTCACTCGCTCTCCTCTGAAAAATAATCACCGTTGACTGTAGTTGAAAACCAACCACTACAACGCACAAGACCACAACAAACAACCAAGCATAGTGTAGCAGCTCATAGGACCGTTGCATGCAGTGCATTTGCGCACAGGACCCCCGTTGTGGCTCCATCATCCCCTTACCTACATTGTGGTTCCTTCATATCCGTGAAATCGCTTATCAAAAATTGGAATCTAAAGCCCTAATTAAACAAACCGCAGATGAGTAAACAAGAAAACATGAGGAGCCAGTAGTGGTGGAGGAAGATTGGTGGTTTTCCTGGCTTTTATTTGTTGTTCTGGTTTTGACGAAAAGTTGTGGTTTTTCTTGCCGCTTCGTAGAAAGAGCCGCTACAAAGCGGAGACGGTGTTGTCTGGTGTCGAAGAGCGATGTCGGTCGACACCGTTGCACATTGACAATTAGTATCGTCTGCAGCAACGAGATTTGGTGTTGGTGTTGTTGTGATGTTGGTGTTGGTGTTGGCGTTGGCGACAGAGTAGGATGGAGAGGACTCATGATCAATTATTTGGTAGTTGTGGCTAATAAATAATATATGAATTAAAAGAACGTGTGATTGTGATTAAATTTGGAATCATAACTAGAATTTGGCAAGTTGTGATCAATTAGTTTGGTAATTTGTGACAGTGAAATAAGTTGTGACTTATAAATTTGGTTATTTGTGATCGAAAAAATAATTTGTGACCAAACAGTATAGAATTACGATCTTAATATATTTAATTAATAAAATAACTATTCAATTAATTATTTCATAAATAAAATTTAATTAAGATCTAATTTTTGAAATTTTAAACATTGTTTCTTAATTTTGAAATGGACTATACTTGATCTCTTATATATTAAATTTTCCCTTATTCATTTTCAATAGTTTTATTGTTTAGTTCAAATGCCACTCTCTTCCAGCTACTGCTATGCTGTCGATTTTCGACTATCCTAACACTATCAATCATTGTTGGGCCCCAAATAAAAAATTCTAGCAATTACAATAATTTTAAAAGATTTACTTCAAACATCGTCTTTATATCTAAGACTCGTTCATTTCGTTCATTAATTATTGGGAAATTTGCAGCAGATGTTCTAAACCTTTCAAAACCTTACATACTAGACCCAAACCTTTTAATCATAGCAAATTCATCACAAACCTTTCAAAAATGTGTAATAGGACATCTGGATGATTTCTGTAAAAAAAAAAAAAAAAAAAAAATCATTAGTTGATCAAAAGTCAAATGTTTTGATCAATTATAAAAGAGCAAAATGATCTTTTAACTTTTAATAAATGTGCAATGACATGACCTCTATCGATTTTCATTCATAACTATGTCAATTGACCAAAGATATTCATCTTCCCCAATCAAACAAACCTCAATCCCTTCCTCTGCTTTGGTTGGTGAAGGCCACCTACAAATGGGCGGGGTGAGGCGATTAGGCTTAGGAGTTAGATGGATCGGGAAAGATGAATGTTTTTAAAATTTTTTTTATTAAAAAATTGTGATTTCCATATAATATGCAGCTAAAATTATGTTGAATTTGATTTAAATTAAAATCTTAATTTTAATTCGTATCAAACATGAGCTTAATATTTAATAATATCCTCAAATCCCCCATGTATTTAAACATTACCATCAAAGATGCTCTCAACTATGTAATTATTATCAATGCATATTTGAAAAA